TGGGGAAAAAAAATGCAGTATTCTCTTCCTTTCCTTCTCACATATCCACCCACACATCAGAAGTTGAATTAGTGCAGCTGGGAGTCCAAAGAGATTTGCAACATGCAATAGGGCTCAGAGGCTTGATCAACAAGAATTTAAATTCCACACTTAATCATTCCTGTTTAGGCTAAAGCTCAAAATAACAGTGGAATACTGCTGTAGCCCTTGGTTTGGCTTTCACATCACAGGACATTTCACTTAATTCTCTATTGTACACAAATACATAACATGAAGAGACTACTGATAAACAGTTTTTATGTTTAGGAAAAATGCACAAAACTATATAATTCAGTACTGGCAACCACCTGGAATCCCTGAAACTAAATAGTCTGTGAAATTCTTGGTGGTCTCTGAGCTTGGTGTGCAGATACAGATTAACAGAGTTGGAAGGGACCTTGTAGGTCTTCTAGTCCAACCTCCCACCAAAGCAGGAGACCCTACACCATTTCTGACATATGGCAGTCCAGTCTCTTCTTGAAAGCTTCCAGTGATGAAGCTCTCACAACTTCTGAAGACAATCTGTTCCATTGATTGATTGTTCTCACTGTCAGAAAACTTCTCCTTGTTTCTAGATTGAATCTCTCCTTGGTCAGTTTCCATCCATTATTCCTTGTTTGGTCTTTGGGTATTTTGGAAAATAGCTTGACCCTTTCCTCTCTGTAGCAGTCCCTCAAATATTGGAAGACTGCTATCATGTCTCTCCTGGTCCTTCTCTTCACTAGACTAGCCATGCCAAGTACTTGCAACCATTCATTGTATGTTTTAGCCTTCAGTCCCCAAATCATCTTGGTTGCTCTTCTCTGTACTTTTTCTAGAGTCTCAACATCTTTTTTATTGTGGTGACAAAAACTGGATACAGTATTCTAGGTGTAGTCTTACTAAGGCTTTCTAGAGTGGTATTAGTACCTCACTTGATCTTGATTGTATCCCTCTGTTAATACAACTTAGGATTGCATTAGCTTTTTTGGCTGCTGCTGCACACTGCTGGCTGATATTTAGCTGGTTGTCCACTAAGACTCCAAAATCCCTCTCACAGTTACTGCTATTAAGCCTGGTTTCACCTAGTCTATATGTGTGCTTTTAGTTTTTCTTCCTAAGTATAAGACTTTACCTTTTTCTACACTGAATTTCATTTGTTAGATAAGGCCCAGTGTTCAAGTCTGTCAAGATCCATCTGAATCTTGAGCTTATCTTCTTGGGTGTTAGCTATTCCTGCCAGCTTAGTATCATCTGCAAATTTGATACATTTCCCTTCTATTCCATCATCTAATCATTTATGAAGATGTTGAAGAGTAATGGGCCTAAGACAGAACCCCAATGCTTACTTCCCTCCATGTAGACATAGTGCCATTAAGGACTACTTATTGAGTATGGTTTGTCAGCCAGTTACAAATCCATCTGATGGTGGTGCTATCTATCTTACTTTTTCCTAGCTTTCCAAGAAGTAGATTGTGCTCTACTTTGTCGAATGCCTTGCTGAAGTCTAAGTATATTATATCCACAGTATTTCACTGGTCTACTAATTTAGTCACTATGTTGAAAAATGAAGTAAGATTGGTTTGACATGATCTGTTTTTTAACAAACCGATGCTGACTTCTAGTTATTATTTTACTTGTTTCTATAAGTTGGCAGATTGATTCTTTTTATTATCTTCTAATTGGAATGAAATCGTCTTCCAATGACATGTTTCAATAACCCTGGAAATAGACTGGCTGCAGACTACAAGCTGGGACCATAATGACATTAATATAAACTTCCCAGGAGTCTAAGAGGTTAATAACACCCCCCACCATTCATTATCTCTCAAGAATTACGCCTTCAATTTATTGCTTCCATTTTACATAAACTTTGAGTAGCTTATATTAACTAAGCAAACTATCCTGTTGTCTTTGTAATGGCACAGACTCTAGTCTTTCATGAGTTCTGCACAATGAATTTTATTCCTGGAACCCAGGTTGCAGAAAAAAGTTGCTACTAATATTAAATACACAATTAGTCTGCCTAAAGAAATTATTGAAAACTCCTCCACAACCAATCCTCCTTGCATTTTTTTGTAAAAATGAAGTACACAGACCAGCAGATTGCCTCTTATTTCTCCAATTACTACCATTAATACGTTCTTCCATTTATTTCTAAAATCTTTATGATTGCAGAAAATTTGAGGTGTCTATCATTTATCTTTGTATCTATGTATGTTTGTGTGTATGTGTGAATGCATCCATTCATCTGTGCTATGAAATCTGGGCATTTTTGGGAAATACTGATCTCATTTTCTGTGACTTGTATAACCTCATGATGAATATTATATAAAGGATAATGTTTCTTTATCAGTACTTATTGTGGTACCAAGCTTCAGATCTGCAAATCCTCTAATTTCTTGCATTCTGTCATTTGCCCACAAGAAATTGGTCTAAATGTAGATTTAATAACTGACACACCATGTGTTAAAAGTCAAGACATCACTCTAGTGTTAATCAGGGTGGGATCCTACCTCATAACAACCAGTTTGGTAAGCGTGCACTTTGTGCATGTGCACACCAAACGGGTGCTGGGCACGGGTGCGCAGTACTTGCAAAACAACTTCTCCTGAAAGCAATCACCATCTCCCGCTAACATGCGGCACTCAGTTGTGCTGCACAAAGCAACTAAGGTAAGAATAAAGGACAGCCTGGAGTCCAGCTGGTGGGTGGGTGGGCCCAAGTGAAGAAAAGAAGATCTTCAGAGAGAACTGGTTCGGTGTCAGCTGCTCTTTGGAGCTACTGATTCTATAGAACAGGGCCAAACCGGTAGAATCCCACCCCGGTGTTAATGGATCTCTTTTTAAAGTTTGCCCACATTATTCCAAGTCATGTTCTTTCACAATCCCCTAGCCTATTCATTCAACAAGTTATATAAGTTTCTGCAATCAACTAGTCTCTGACAGAGTCCATAATTCAGGATATATTTTTGAAAACCTCTTTTTCAATTATTGGGTATTAACTTCCAGCTGTCCTCTGCCCAGCATCCATAACTGGAGATGACCAAGAAGATAGAGGCCATCTTCAAGGAATACCCACAGTGCCACTTAATCTGCCATCAAGACAATTGGCCTCGAGTTTTAACTGTGACTTTATTTATAACGCCTCTTTCCATCTATAGCTATCATACATACCTATAACATCTCCTGAACCTCTCCATTCCATAAGCTCTTATTATCTATAGGAATTTCAGACCATACTGTATCTCCATAAGAGATACCACCAAAATATCTTATAAGCACCTTGCTGATTGTCACAATCAGAATGGTACTTCTGGAAATCAATCTCTCATTCTTTTTTCAACAAACATAGGTTAATTTGAATTATTGCATGGTTAAGAATAATTCTAAGCACCTAGAGCTGTATAGCCCCCTTTTATGACAGATATTTATTTAAAATTCCCTCTGTTCCCTGAGGTATGTTTTATAAAACAAGCCCACTGTGTATATATGTAATATCAGAACTCTCATTCAGCAGAAATGTTTTGCATAGTAGTAATGTACGTTTTGTAATGAGAATTTCAAACTTTCATCTTATAAGCTGCCTCTACCCTTTACTCCCTTAAGACATTCCTTAAGATTAGGGAAAGCTGCAAGAGTTAGGACAGGGATGCATTTTAAACTTGTGAAACTGTGGAAATTACCTATAACTGATAGGTAATTGTTCCATCCTTACCTTCTATAACAACTTTTATGGTGAGGTTCCCCTTAAATAGTACACTGACAGCAAATAGATTGGGCTGAATTCAGATGTTGATAGAAAAGTAATTACAGAAAGTCTTGGTAAAGTTTTGTAGTTATCTATATGGAAAAAAAATGGTTCCATGGCTACCCTATGAGACAAGGTTTGTGTGCCTGTGCACATAATTATGTCTTTGTGAGACAAAATACGAATATGGACAATAGGAATGAAACATTGATTGTGAGTATCAAAGAAGGCACTGTATTACATAGACAACCTTCTTTGCTTTCCATACATAGCTGCAACATTAATAATGCTATGAGTTCGAGTCCCACTTTAAGCATGAAACCAAGTGGGTGACTATGGGCCAACCACTCTCTCATAGACCAATTCACCTCACAGGGTTGTTGTTTTGTTGGGGTAAACAAGAGAAGGAAGGAGTATTAGATATCTTAAAGTCACCTGGAGTTATTTATAAAGTAATAAAGGTACAGATACAGATAATCAGAGTTGGAAGGGACCTTGTAGGTCATCTAGTCCAACCCCCTGGCGGGAGACCCTACACCATTTCTGACAAATGGCAGTCCAATCTCTTCTTGAAAGTCTCAAGTGAAAGTCTCAAGTACCAGCAAGACTTGCTTTGTAAAGAGAGATGAGAAATTCAATATATACACCAGACTGTCAATTATCTGGAAGCCTGCACTCACAAACAAAAAAATCTCCACACCACAAGCCAGGCAAACACCTGAGCACAAACAGACCCCCCTGATACCTCCATCTCAAAGACACCCCAACCAGGCACCCAGATGAAACCTAGCTTCCCAATAAATGATAGCCGTCTGTTTACTCGGAGCCAAGCTGCACTAAAAGCCTCCAATACAGGAACACATTGTTGCCAGCCAATCAAGACAAAAAAATGCTACAAAACAGACAGAAGATATTAGAAACACCAATCAAGCAGAACACAGCAAACTCCAAGACCAATAAACACAGACCAAGACTCCCAACCAATCAGGATGAAGAAAAAAACATTCTAACACAGCAGTAGGCTAGCACCAAATTTAAAACAGAAACAGCTGTGAAAGTCTGACTCACAGACGAACTCAATACAAGCCTGATGATGGCAGATGAGATTCTGCTGAAACGTTGCTACAACTTTAAAAGCACGCGCGCACGCGCGCACACGCGCACACATATATAATTTTTTTTCTTATAGTTCAATGCTGGTTTATGATGGAAATAAAATTCAGTATACTTACTGGCAATGTATGTACTTGGCTTATTCTTAACTGCTTCTCCAAATCTTGCACCTTATTTTTTAGCTCCAGATTTTCTGTTTCTAATTCATTAATCTGAAGAATTTTCATGTATTAAAAAAATCAGAGAAATAATATCAAGGTAAATTCATACCTTATCAGAACTACATTGAATAAGCCTACAAAAATAAATCAGCATGGAACAAAGCATTTATCATTAGTAAATTAGTCTACAAAAATAAGGTATATTTCTGGTGTTAACATCGTCATCATCAGTATACCAAATTTGTATCATATTTGTATGATGGAAAAAACTGCAATATTAATTTACTGCATTAATTAAAAGGAACCATATTTTTAAGTTACCTAAAATGGGTAACAAATTTATTTCCACAATAGAGGAAATAATATATATATAAAATTATACATATAAAATTATATATATAAAATTATATATGTAGGTCTAGGTGTGTTCAGGTCTTTTCCCATGTAAGATTAAGAGTATCTTGGCGACGTTTCGGCGAGGTCCCACTCGCCAACCTCAGACTGGTGCTTTCAGCTTCATGCCAGTGCAAGCAGTGTGTGATCGGAGCTGCCGTCTCTCTATAAATACTGGTGGAGGGGCTGGTGTGCTGGGCTGTGTGGAGGCTAATGGAAAAAAGATCACTACAAAACAAACGACCCAGGAAATTACAGCACAAGATCCAGGATATCTCCACAACAAAACTCAGACAGCCCATTATACCAACATCAACTCCATCAACCAATCAAAAGGCAG